ATAATAATAATAATAATAATAATAATAATAATAATAATAATAATAATAATAATAATAATAATATCATCATCATCATCATCATCATCATCACCATTATCATTCAGGACCAATTAAATGCAACTTAAATCCTCTTCACTGGTTCTTTTTATGACCAACTCTAGTTCATTGGTATACTTGAATAAAACAGACTTTGATTTCCTATAAAATATAAATCAGGAAGAAGGCAAGGAGACTTATGTAGGACGCTATAAAGGCAGCTGCTAGAAGTAGTTCTACAAGAATTTTGAAGTCTGCTTGTTTGTTTAAAATAATGTATTCATTATTTCAGTCAACCTTACAGACTGTTCACTTATAAACCAACCCAAATCTTTCAACATTCATAGGAAGGATTTGGGTTGTTTTGATAGGGTTACAATAAGTAAGGCAAAAAACACAATGTGGGAACACTGTTATTTGGTGGACAGGCTTGTTCAGTTTCTCCCTGTTTGGGGTGGTGATCTGCGGGAGTTTTCTTCGTTTTCTAACCCAAGTATAGCATATGTCACAGCACAAATTATCCTTTCTACCTCAGAATGAGAAACTATACTGTGGCTGTAGGTTCATTAAAAAAAAGCAGCTGAAAGCTACCTTCCCATTCAGACAACACTGCAAATTATAGCAAAATTCAGTGCCTACTTGCATATCCAGCTCATGGCATCTCTGAGCAATTTCTTCTTTGGTTGCTAAGGCTTCATTTAATTCTTCCGTTGTTTTCTTCAACTGTGTTTTTAAATACAATATATATTTTATTTATTAAAAATAGTGGCATGAAAAAATAAAAAAGATAGGGATCCAAAGAATTCATTTATCTGTACTTAAAATAATTATCCATAATCCTCCTAATTTATTTTGACAAATTATCTGCAAAGCTTTCTGTTTCGTGGAGATAAAACCTACCTGAATATTTTTCTAGTGTCTGTATGGTAAAATCTTGTATTTTAGGAGATATCTTTCTACCAGATATACGTTATATGTTATTCATACACTAATTAACTTTGGAGTGCAGCATCCAAGTCATACAAATCATGGAGCAACAATGTTAAAATATAATTGTAGTTAAATTTCAATCATGTATCTCTGGATGCAACTAATGGAGGAAAACCAGAGATGGGAATACACTGATGGCATCAGATTAGGGGCATATCATCCTGGAGAAAATCTATCTATGTGGTCACTAAACATCTGCAATGACTAGATCATACATAATCCATCAGGTAAATTTAGACATTACAATCTTTCCATATAAGAAAATTTATTATCTATAATGCTTTACCCCTTGCAACATTTCACCTTAAAGAAGGAACAAAGATAAAATCTGCAAATAGTGTTTGGCTATTATAACAATTGTTTAAGCAAGCTATTATTTGGTTATAAACAGTTCAACATCACAAACATTTTGTATCAGCAGTAAACCAGAAAAGGTGGCTTCTTTAAGGAAGAACTCTTTACCAGGTCAGATTCCTTGATCCAATCATGTCATTTCTGTGTATTCTATCAGGATCTTGCTCATTTTTAAGTAAAGAAATAAGAGACTCAACTGTATATCTGCATTCAAAGTAACTATCCATTCCAATTCAATGAAATACAAAATGTTTTTGATGTTGAACTATTTACTGCAAAGTAATAGCTTGCATAAGCATTTGTTATAACAGCCAAACACTCTTTAATATGGCTTTAGAAGTATTATACAGTAATCCTCAACTTACAATTGAGCCCCAAATTTATGTTGTTAAGTGAGAAATTTGTTAACTGAGGTTTGCCCCATTTTATGACTTTTCTTAATATATTTGTTAAGTGAATCACTGCAGTTGTTATGTGAATCTGGTTTCCCCATTGAATTTGCTTGTCAGAAGGTATCTAGACCCTTTTCAGTCTGGTTTCAGGCCTGGATACTGCACCGAAACCGTTTTGGTCGCACTGACCAATGATCTCTGGTGGGCCAGGGATAGAGGACATTCCTCTATCCTAGTGCTCCTTGACCTCTCAGTGGCCTTCGATACCATCGACCATGGTATCCTTCTGCGACGGCTGGAGGAAGTGGGAGTGGGAGGCCCCGTTCTAGGGTGGTTCTCCTCTTACCTCTCCGACAGGTCACAGTCGGTGTTGGTTGGAGGGCGGAGGCCCCTTAAATATGGGGTGCTGCAGGGGTCGGTCTTGTCCTCCTTCCTATTTAATATCTACATGAAGCCACTAGGTGAGATCATTCGTCGGCATGGGATTAAATACCATCAATATGCGGATGATACACAATTGTATCTCTCCGCCCCGTGCCAGCTCAGCGTAGCAGTGGAAGTGATGTGCCAGTGCCTGGAAGCTGTTAGGGTCTGGATGGGAGTGAACAAACTCGCACTCAATCCTGACAAGACCGAGTGGCTGTGGATGTTGCCCCCTAAGGACAGTCCAGATAGTCCGTCCCTAAACCTGGGGGGTGAAAATTTACACCCCTCAGAGAGAGTCCGCAACTTGGGGGTCCTCCTGGATCCGCAGCTGTCATTAGAACATCACCTGTCGGCTGTGACCAGGGGGGCCTTTGCCCAGGTTCGCCCGGTGCACCAGTTGCGGCCCTATTTGGATCGGGATGCACTTCAAATGGTCACTCACACCCTCGTCACCTCAAGACTTGACTACTGTAATGCGCTCTACATGGGGCTGCCCTGAAAAATGTTCGGAGACTACAATTAGTCCAGAATGCAGCCGCGCGAGCGATACTGGGTGTACCAAGATACACCCACACTACACCTATCCTCCGCGAGCTGCACTGGCTCCCTTTTGGTCTCCGAACGCGATTAAAGGTGCTGGTCATTACCTTTAAAGCCCTGCATGGCCTGGGACCTGGATATCTGTGAGACCGTCTTCTGCCGCATACCTCCCAACAGCCGATAAGATCACACAGCGTGGGCCTTCTCCAGGTGCCGTCAGCCAATGTCGGCTGGCGGCTCTCCAGGGGAGGGCCTTCTCTGTAGCCGCTCCAACCCTATGGAATGAACTACCCCCAGAGATCCGGACCCTACCCACTCTCATGGCCTTCCGAAAGGCTATTAAAACCTGGCTATTCCAGCAGGCCTGGGGCTGTTGACCTCTTGACCGAGGTCCAGCCCCGATTAGACTGGGTGCATGATGTGCTTTCTTTTAATCTGTTTTTCTTCATTTGTTTTTAACTCTTCACTTTTTAAAATTTATTTTCTGGAAGCCGCCTGGAGTCCTTCGGGATTGGGCGGCCTATAAATTTATTAAATCAAATCAAATCAAATCAAAAGGTGATCACATGACTGTGCAACCATCATAAACATGAGTCAATTTTATTCCCGTAACCATGGAGATGCTGCAATGAAAAATGGTCATGTCACTTTTTTCAGTGCCACTGTAATTTTGAATGGTCACTAAACAAACAGCTGTAAGTCAAGGACTACTTGTGTAAAATAAAGGCAACTTAAGAACAAATAGTGTATCCAAAGCAGGCTTGATGTTCCCTCAAATGCTGGGAAATAATTCACTCATATTAAGTAAATTATTTTTGAAAAACATTAAACATAATTCTCAATTCTTTCGAAGTTTAATTCTGCCTATTGAGAATAATGGCATGGAACATAGTCCCAATTATATTCAATATTATATTGTTGCATTATAGTGAATAATTTATTAATGTACAGCATTTAATAACATGAGTAGCATTTCTCTAAACTAATCATTTTTTTTAGATATGTATTGGCAAAGAACCTGACTGCTAGTTTAAAAAGAATCATAGCATTTTTAGATAAAGCCAGTTTGACTGTTGAGATAGCAGAAAAAGAAAATAATGCTACAAATGAATTAACTACTTGATTTTATATGTAAAGAGAGAATATGAAAAAATACTGAGTTCGTTACTCAATGCCAATAGTATCAGTTTTATAAAATCAGATGTTTTTGCATCTCCAGCTTTGCCTCTAATTAGCTTTCAAAATTTCACACTGGACCTAATAAACGGACTTTTGCTTTGATCACATTTCTGGTAATAAGATTTTAAAAACTCAAAATGTGGCATAACAGTGTCAAGGCTGTCTTTTGGCAATGATACTAACCGAATAATTATGTTACTTTATTGATGTTAATTGCAACTCCTACAATTTACCAGTTCAAATAAGAAACTAATTTGCTGTCTGCTTTCTTTACACTTTTCCAAATATACTGATAAAAACAAAGCAAAATAGATGGGTGGCTCCAAAATTATTCAAATTGAACTCTACTAATGGAAGGAAAAACTAGCAGTAGGTGTTGCATACCTGACGGTCAAGATCAACGTAACCATCATTTCCAGCAGTGACCGGAGACTCTTTACTCATCAACTGCAATAAGATCACACTGGATTAGAAAAAGCAAAAGACTAATTTGTATCTGTGTAAGAATTAAGCATTTAAAATGCACGGTATTGTATTATGGGTGTTGGGTATATCCTTATTTAATCAAGAAAGCAATTTACATTTTACTATTTATTTTGGGTCAACATAGCTTATTTTAGGGAGAGAGATAAGAATTAGAAATATTATTTTTAATGTTAATGAAATGCTTGGGCTGGATATATAGAAAACGTTTCTATATTTTCAACTTAAAATAACTTACTACTCCAGTACAATGTTTAACTTATGAAATATTAAAAATATACATATCATAACATCAGGATATACTGAAGCAATCTCACTTATTATTAAGTCAGTAATATATGAAAAACTTTTAAGATTTCACCCAAAGGTGCTTTTTCTACATAGACTTTTAAGATTTGATTTTTCCCTTTTATTGCTAGAAAGATATATAATTTAAACTAACCAAAGGACAGTACAAATATACATTATGAAATAATGCTATTCAGGCCAACAACATGAATTTTAAAAAACACACCCTTACGCTATACATATTTTCTGTACCTCAAAAATTATCAGGTTATATTATAACACATTATTTAATAATGGTGTGAAAAAACAATTTTTTATCAAAAAAATGAATCCAAATTTGTCACAATAAATATTTTAAGTATATCCTTCCTTATTCCAAAGCAAAAAGATCTGATGACTATGCCCAAATGTTTTCCCCAATTCATTTGAGATTAGTTTCTCTTTTTCTGCTTCACTAAAAATTATTATAATTAATGTCTTATTTATTGGGGCACAAAATAATTCCAACATCACTGCAGGATCTTTTTACTACTCTGTAACTTATTGCTATGTACAAATACTTATACTATATATTGCCACACTTAATTAAATTGTCACACTTAATAAAATTAATTCACCAGCTTTAAAAAAAATAGAATAGCATGGGATCAAGAAGCAGCAATGACTTCATCTTGCTCAAACTGATACAAGCCATTAACAAAGCCAATGTCAGAGCACTGATAATGTTATATAGTCTGGTAATGAAATGAATCCAAGAAGAAGAAAGCCAAATTCAGAAAAGACCTATAAAATGTTTTTTTTTCCTATGCATGAAATTTTGGAGGGACAATTCCATGAGCCAACTTGTACCAGTTTGCAAGAGCCATTTAAAAAAAAAAAATTGGAAATTTTGCGAGTCAGTTTGAGAGCAGAGCTAAACCATTCTGATCAGTTGTTTGGCAGCTTGTCACGCAGCATGGTAACAGCATGTCCCAATGGAGCTTTTTCAAAAGGCAAGTGGACTTTATTCAGTTGCCTCTTGAAAAAGCACCTTTGGGACAACCATGACCTGGATGCCTAAGACTCTCCATAGACATGATAGCAGCAATGCAACCAGCAGAGCTGGTTCTTATCCATTTGTCAGCCACTCAGTACGTCCCAATCAATTTATTTACAGGAAAATTCACAAAGGTTTTCCAAGTTATTGAGCCTCCCCTATTTCATTAATAATAATGAAATTCAGCTGTTAAAATATCTACTGCTAAATATCCTATTTAAAGGTTTGGTGGAAATTAATAGGAAAGGGAATGTAAGAAGGGGACCAAGTGTTAACTTTCAGAAATGTAAATATTCTACATGAAAGCAAAGTGGAGCATATCATTAATTTATGTTTAAAAATATTCCATCTATTATCTGATCATATTTCTGAAATGGTAAAGGTTCACACAGTATGAATTCTGGAAACCGGTTCCACTATATAACAAAGATATGTGTCTTTTAACTCCTTACCTCCTGAATGGCTGTCATGACCACATGTTGAACAGATTCCTCCATCATCATGATGGTCTGAATATACTCTGTAAAAAAACGGTTGTAATAATTCATACTTAAAATGTAATCGTTCATGCTTAGAAAATTCAGAAGGATATATAGGACAATATGCCAACAATACTAAAATGTTCAATTTTAAATTTAGTATGGGTGAATTTTTCTCTGTATGAGTGTATGAGTGACAAAATCAGCATTCTTCAAAGGGATTAATTTTAAGCAGTAATAGGGAGAATATTCTAACTGATCTAACGAATCTACGTTACTAGCCCTGATACAATACTAATACAAATCCATATGTAGGAACTGAGAAATGCAAACTTCAAGTGATGAATGCCTGAGTAAATTCAAGTTCATTTTGGCTCAAGATGAATTCCTTTAAGGAGCTTTTAGCATTACATTTAATTTATATTATTACATATTTGTATTTTGTATTTTAATTATTATCTGTTTTAAGTATTCAATCAAGTATAAAGGTGAGATATAAAGTAAATAAACAAAAATACATAAACGTCTCAATTATTTGTTTATTTATTTTTGCATTTCTCTATGCAAAAGAATAGAAGACTGAAGAACTGAAACTGATTGCTAAGAAGTCTCTTATAAGCAAGTCTAATACATTTCACTCCTAACAGGTAATTATAGGTGCGTTATTTAATTAAAGACCACAAAAAATGGCATAGCAGAAACAATAAAGAAAATTAAAAAGCTTTGCAGACATATCTTTCCATCTTTTAAAAATGCAGATGTATACAACCAACCCACCTCCTTCCTCTTTGAATATTCCACAAAAATTGTTTCTAAACTTATCAAACCTTGATTGTAGCTGGCCATGCAAGTATTAGTTGTGACAGTCTGGTCATGATTTTGTGGACAAGTTCCAGTTAGCCTTGAGCACAGGCCGTATCATGTTGCAAAATCAGTTTTAAAGGAACAACTGAGGGAAGCAAAATATAAATGTCTATATTGTCAAAAAGAATTATTCTACAGCACATTCTTCAGTTCACTGGAAGATGTAGCTGTAAGCAGTTAAGTGACAAATTTACCTTTCTGACATTCATTTTGGTGATCCTAATAGAAAACAGTGCTCAACAGAACATAAAATACTTTCTGTGAAAATATGAGATACATAAACACCTAACAAATCTTTTCTGACCTATACACTGCCTTCCAGCTACATCAAGAGTGTAATTCCCAAAATTTCCAATCGGTATACCTTTTGGAGACTAATTCCAGGAAATACCATCTAAAGATAAGGGGGGGGGGGGTACCAGATTGTAGCAGACAGTACTATTTATTTAATACATATATTTGATTTATATCTCACCTTTCTGCTTTGGCAAGCAATTAAACAGAGTTAGCAACAGAATACAATTCATCAATATTTTCTATAGCACAGACCAAATCAATATACTATGAGACCCTTTCAACTCTTTAATCATCATTGCGTATCCCACACCGCTACTGTATTTTACTTCTGTTTCATGACTGTAATTTGTGTGGAAATCAGCAAAAGGAATGTGAACAATGAAGCAATGAAACCAGGCTCAGTAGTAGTAACTGAGAGGGACCTTGGAGTCCTAGTGGATAATCATTTACATATGAGTCAGCATATTTGGCAACAGCAGCCAAAAATGTCAATACAATTCTAGGTTGCATTAACAGAGTGATAGAATCAAGTTCTTGTCAGGTATTAATACCACTTTATAAAGCCTTAGTAAGACCACACTTAGAATACTGCATCCAATTTTGGTCACCATATTATAAAAAGATGTTGAGACTCTGGAAAGAGTGCAGAAAAGACAACAAAGATGATCAGGAGTTAGGGGCTAAAACATATGAAGAACCATTGCAGGAATTTGTCTAATCTAGTGAAAAAACGGACTAAGGGTGACATGATAGCAGTGTTCCAAGATTTAAGGGGCTGCCACAAAGAAGAGGGTGTCATCCTATTTTCCAAAACTCCAGAAGGCAAGAAAAGAAACAATGGATGGAAACTAATCAAGGAGAGAAGTAACATAAAACTAAGGAGAAATTTCCTAACAGTGGGAACAATTAACCAGTGGAATGGCTCAGAAATTGTGAGTGTTCCCTTACTGAAGGTTTTTAAAAAGAGACTGGACAGCCACTTGTTTGAAATGGTATAGGGCAGTGATGGCTAACCTTTTCGTCACTGAGTGTCAAAATCACTGAAAAATCAATCTACAATGATTGAATGATTCAGAAGTGTGTTGAATGTAGTCAAGCCCAATACTTCTCAAGTACTCATTACAGCAATCTGATCAAAAAGATGCTGCCGCTTTAAAGATTTCCATGCAAATCTTGAAGGACCAATGCCTTTTTTTTAAGGCCGGCTCACTACTGACTCCTTCTGGATTAAATAGAAGACATCAAACTAATTGTCAATTTTCTTAACACTCACCAAAGAAACTGGGGGAAAAAACCTCAATGTTAATGTTGTGTGTGTTAATGAAACAAACAAAAACTGTGTATATAGTTTGAATAATGTACCATTTTAATAAAATACCAACTAACCTTGTTTTTGTTCACAGTTTACAGCACAGCCTAAAATAAGCTGAAGCATTCTTCCAAGCTCTGCTGCATCAGAATGCTCCCCAATCAAGTTAACATCAGGAAGGATAAAATCATTAATCTGTTGTCCCAAAATCTGTGCAAGGATAAAAAAATATATTAACATATTTCCAGGTTTCAGGGCCAAAGTAAACAGAATTGCAGGATTAGGAATCTAATGAGAGGAAATTGTATTATTCATTCTGTAGGGTAACCAGCCAGAATTCTGCAAATCCAGTTTGCTAAGCAACTAACGGAAACTTTTTGTTTCTGTGTCTCTGACATATCTATCTCCTGTTAATAAAATCTTTATCCTCATGCAAGACATCTAACCAAGCTCTCCAGCTGAGGAGTCAAAATGGGTGGGTTGTTCTTAAGTGGCTCAAATCTAGAAGTTACCTTATCTTTACTGTACATAGCTGATGCTTCATGCTGTTGACTATTCATTGTATACAATGCTTATTCAGGCCCACTAATGTATAGAGGTTTGGCTGAGACACATTTCCACAAGCGGACTAAGTACTATTTGCACAAGAGTTGGCACTAACACCAAATCCTTTTACTTGTACTTCAAAAAAGCAACATTCTTTGAACCTGATTCAAATAATCTTTTAACATAAATACTAAATAAAATGTTTCAAACAAATACTATCAAGATAAAAAAGATCTTCTAGAACCATCACTCCAAGAATTATTAATAGTTCCAACACCCATGAAAAGTAGTAAACATGGGACATTTTGATTTAGAACAATTAATATGTAGGGTTTCCCCCTCTAAAATAAACATTAGAGTAATGGTTTACTAAAACATTTCACCAGAGAGTGCAAAGATATATTTATTCTCTCATTCTTTTTATGAAATCTGAATGGATTATGTAAGTATTTAAAGTGAAAAGCTTCCCAATGGAAAGATTCAGAATTTCATTCAGGTTTTGTTTCCATGATACAAAATAATCAACAAAAACCATTTTAATGCATCAAACTTATTTCACATTTCCTTTAGGAGACAGGAAATTTTATTTCACCAACAAAAATATGCAGCCATTCTAGCCAACTAAAATTAAGGAACAATCACAGAACAGAATAAAACTGTCATATTTATCATATTTTTCAAGCCAACTACTTCATATCAAGAATTCTATTAAATGTGTTCAAGATCATCTTCATTAGACTGATAAAGTGTATATCAAAGAATTCATCAGTTTTCAAAACATGCAAGCCTGCAATAAACCATGTTGCATATTTATTAAAAAATTGTAAATGCTCTTTTCATATATATATTAAATGTAGGCAAGATATTTTTAAAAAGAGATCTAAAATGTTTGAAACAATTATAGTAAGCTAATCTACATATTATATTCAAAGAAAGGAATATATTACATATAAGAGTTCTTACTTCATGGTTGTAATCCAAAATTCCTTTTAAAATTTTCTTCAGATTGCTCACCTTAGAGTGAAAGAAAACAATTATTAAAAAAAAGAATTATCCTAAATTACAATTAAAACTCAACTTTATAAGAATTTATTATAACTTAAAGCAGAAGAGTGGTTTCTTTGTGTTTTGTGGAGGGGTTTGCCAAAAAAGCCAATAACAAAAATCACAAAATTATGATTCCATACTTTTCTGATTTCTAGATCCTGTTTGGTCACAGGAGGACATAAAAACCATCATATATAATAGTGATTGTTTATACCTCTAAATTGGATTAGTATTCCCACTTGTTTTATATAATAATTATTCAAATAAAAATATTTTGAATATTCCTATCAATACAAAATATATTAAAGCAAAGATTCAAAATCATATATTTATTGGGATTAGCATAACTTCCAAAATAGCCTCAACTACAACATTAGTAGTTATTTCTGATGGTTGGGGAGCATCATATTTTTAGGCACATGAAAGCTATTAGATGTGCTGAAAAGATGGTTTCATTTAGAGGTTCTTTGTTCCATTTTTTAAATGTTTCAGACCATCCTGAACAAATCCATGAAGGATTATAATTTTTATAATTTGAAAAAAGATATTAAGATTAATACCCTTTGCTTCCAATTTTTAAAGTTTTCTCATTATAAACTAGAACCTACATATGAATTCCTCACTTTTTTTCTAAAAGTATGGCATTTTTGGCAAAGTGTCAAGATTAATGAAAGGGAATTCAGTATTGTAATAGCAATCTAGCAACTGAAGAAAGCAAACTTTCTGCATAAACATGAGCAATTTCAAGCAAGTTCTTTTTAACCTAAAACAAAGAAAAATATGGTGCCAACTTAGGATGTGGTCTTGAGTCCCAAATAATAATAAAAAAGTCCAATTCTACCCTGACATTGGATTGTAAACAATGAAAAGAAGAATTTAAATTAAATAATATTTTTGTTGCTCCTTCGAGGGCATGAGATTTACAACAATTTATATATCTTGCGTCTGTAATGTTAATTATTCTTGCAAATACTGCATTCTTCAAAATCCTTTAAATCAAAACTTCATTCCATTACCATTTAGCTAGCTTTTAGATTAACACTTTGTATTTTATATGTAAATTCTACAAGCCACCTAGAATCCTGGTTTCAAGTGACAGGCAAATCCCATAAATAATTAAGCAAATAAGCAAACTTTATAATGAACAATTATGTTTTGCTCTTCTACTCTGGGGCTTCCCACCCTGGAAAAAAAAATCAGCAAATTCTTTCTTATTGAAAATAAACAGACAAATGCATAAATAAGAAGTAAAACAACACACAGTCTAAGGATAAATACTTCTCAGGTAGCCTTCAATTAAATTCATATGTCTTTGGGTCATCCAACAGCAATATTTGTTGTATAATTTTATGTCTATCTAATAAGAAAATGCCACATGAAGATCACTATTTGGTTTCATAACATGTTGAACCGTGTTTAGTACAGCTGAAGAAAAATGTGTCAGCTTGTCTCAACCATATAATTATTATGTTTGGGCCATGTTTCCAATGACTCTTAATTAAATATAGTTTCTGAAGACTTAAATGCATTAGCAGTGCTAATAACTTTGCATGTCCTAATTTGATGGAAAGACTATGGGCTTTAATCTTTGTTAGTTTTTTCCATTTTTTGTCAAATGTGGTAGCGAATATTTCAGCATTTCCTACTGATACAAGAGAACCTTAACTTTCCCCAGAATTTGATTTCAGAAGGACTTAAATGTTATTACATGGAAACAAGAACCATCAAGAACTTTAAATCAATCATGAATCATCACAAAACCAGATTAAACAAAAATAATAATTTTATGTGTAGAATGATCTGCTATGGCTAAAGATCTGCCAAGAAGCAATTAAGCAAAGATTCAGCAAAAGCTTTTCAGACTTTAAAATCAATAAAGACAGAGTACTGATTGCAAATGTGCAGCACTCCTTTCCCATTGCATGATTTTCACTAATCAAGAGGAGTCTGGGACTTGAGAGAAGCTCCCATTTTACCTCCACATCTGCAGGTAAGACTGAAAAAGACTTCAATGGGAAGCAATTTTTGGCTTTTGCCTTCTGCAAAACTGTACTGCAAACATAAAAAGGAATAATTTAACATTTCAATCTATACTAGAGACCTTGGTCAACAACAAATATCGTGTCATTAATGTTTCTTCTATACTTAAGGTAGTTTATTTCAAATTCAAATTGGGTCTTCTGACAGAATAAAACAAGCTCTATTTGATAAGGTATCCCTATCTGTCTTCTCATGGACAAATATTTTATTTTTATCATGGGACACCAGACTTGAAAAAGCTAGCTGAAAATAGAATAAATTTATTTAAGAAACAAAATGCCTCTGAAAATCAATTCCTTAAGTTTGTAGAATAGGGCAGCATAAAAATTATGTAAATAAATAAATTAAAATATGTTCCATTTGAAATTTTCAAATAATTGTACTACATGGAGGCAACTATGTTATGAGATGCCTCGATAAATACTATTGATGGGGGGAATGGGTCATATTGATTATTGCCCTTCCTTCTTTTATGCGGTTTTCTTCTCCATACAAAAGCCCCAAGAAAGATTTATAAATAAAACTACTAATATCTTATGTATGCAAATGCATATTTTTCATAATTAAATGAGAGTTTATCAATGTTGTCAGGCGTGAACAACCAGATCCACATGTGTACACTATAAACTAGATACTTTATTGTTGAAGCCTATTTCACAGCAATTGAGCCAAGGTGGCGCAGTGGTTAAATGCAGCACTGCAAGCTACTGCTAGATCAGCAGTTCAGCGGTTCAAATCCCACCGGCTCAGGGTTGACTCAGCCTTCCATCCTTCCAAGGTGGGTAAAATGAGGACCCAGATTGTTGGGGGCAATATGCTGACTCTCTGTAAACCGCTTAGAGAGGGCTGAAAGCCCTATGAAGCGGTATATAAGTCTACTGCTAAAATTAAATTAAAATTAAATTTTCTAAGACTGGCAGTTTGTCCCTGGGAAAGACTAGATAAAGTTCAATGGCAATCGGGGGGGGGGAGGGTTGGGCCTTGCCCTCTTGTGTCTACTTAATAATTCCAGACTGCTCCCCTGCTTGACCCCACCTCCTGACTGGGACAGCCTGTCTCCAACAATGTGAAGTCATTTAGATCCTTGCTTCAGTACAATTGATTCTTGTATTGCATTTTTTTCTTATTCATTTTAATTGGATATCAGTATACAATAGTCCCACCCAGACTAGATAAAGCAGAATAAACTGGGTTAAAATCCCACAAGAAAAAAATATTTCTGTAAGAAAATTCTATATACATGACATGAAGTAGCATGGGTTTAAACTAGAAGCTTCAAATAATTGACTTAATAAAAGTTATTAAATATTTAATAATGCTTAAAATTGAATAATTTTACTGCTTTTTAATAGAGTGCTAACTTGAATCTTGCAGAATTGTATGCAAAGCAAAACAAAACAAACAAACAGTTGTGGTAAGTTGACAAAAAAACCAACAATTTAATCAGTAAGCAATAAAAATACCTTCAATCTCCAGTTTTCTCCTACTTCTCTTTTTATTCTATTTAGCCAATTTTCATCAAAATATGTTGGATCTCTGAAAAAATAAAAGCACAATATTTTGTTAAACGTATTTTCTTTCAATCTCTCTCTATATATACACACACAAACACATACACGTATATATGCATATAATACATGTCTGCTTACACAAAATGACAAATTTATCAACTAAAAATCCTATAGTTCTGATATTTAAAAAATGGCTTTTATGCTATATTCCATGGCAATCAAGATTATTTGGAAATGGTTTCCAGAAATTTCAATAGCAGTGACTTTAAAATATTTTCATACAACATTAAGCATAAAACATTCCCATTAAATATAAATGTTTACATTTTATTATTATCCCACCGTTTTACATTCCAAAACATTTGATAAATTAAGAATATTTTTCTTTTCTATACAAATTATATAAATCATTCATACCCTGTTTCCCTAAAAATAAGACCTCTCCAGATAATAAACTCAATCAGGCTTTTGAGCGCATGCATTAAAAAAAATCCTTCCCCCAAAATAAGCCCTTCCTGAAAATACTGCAACACAGCAGCAGCCATGAAATGACCATGCTCACCGCCTCCTGCACCTCAAAAATAATCAGACCTCCCTGAAAATAAGGCCAAGTGCTTATTGCGGGGTCAAAAGAAAATAAAACCCTGTCTTATTTTTGGGGAAACATGGTAGGTTTATAGTTATTTAAGTCCTACCTATAATCCTATTCCTATACAGCTAGCTATTTAAATTATCCTCAATATTTAATTGATAATATCAGAGTATAAATTTCCTATCAAAATCTATTTATTATGCACTTGTAGAATTCATATAATAAATCACCAGAAGCACTGTCTGTAATTCTCTTTGAAAAGTATGTATTTACAAAATTTTATATTTAACAAAAGCATACATCAGAATTCACAATTTCCCATAAATCATGGTTCACCAAAACCATAGCAATGAGTTTAAATTGATATTTTATACACATGCAAACATAAAAATAACAATTCCAGATATAAGAAAATGTAATATATCCCTGTTAATTTAATATTTGAATTTTTCAGTAATTTATTCAAGAAGAGTAATTGACCATATTTTAGCAAACTATTGTTGAATTGTTATCAATAAGCTTCCACTGCTGAGTTATTATTAATTGGATGAAAGTAAAATATAACAAGTTCCTTATTATATAATGTAATAGAATACTTCATTTCCTTATTATACAATTTATCCTAACATGACACACCTTTTTATATAATAACATCCTTAACTCACATCTGAGGTCTACTTTTAGCATAAAAAGACTCATGTACAATACAAGAGCATACTTTTGAAAAAGTCACTCTTTTAAAAAGTGGGGAAACCAGTTTAGCTATTCATATAAAACTGTCCTAAGCTATATTTTCTGTACATAGGTTCTTATGGGTCAAAGGATTCTATTTATACCATTATGCCTTGGCACAGAATTTAAGAATTGTTGATATAGCACATTTTTTTGGTATGCCTTTCTACACCCGAAAAAGCTGCTTCATCCTACTATTTGATTAACAAGTTGAAATGTTAGTTTTAAAAGCATGGGACGAACTGTTATTTCCCTAGACATTCTCTAAGTTATTACATTCACAGTTTCCACACAATTTCCACACAAACAATACATATTTGGGAAAACACATTGTGCTCACATTTTCCCAATAACACATGATCCTTTAATCAATATTACTAGCAGAGATAGAATACGACTATATTCCATTAATGAATATGATTATGCATTCATAGAATTTGATATAACAAAGATTATTAATGTTGGTCAACTTAAGATTGTATCTATTGTAATGGCTGGGTTCACATATGCTAAACCATGATTTATTTAACATCAATAAGTGAGCTAACTTATTATACTACATAATAAACAATGTATAACAAACACTTCTCCACCTGACTTGCCATACTTAAAATCTCTTACAAATTGCTTAGAAAATTCAATATTCTACTTTCCTCAACTCAGGGCCCTGAGAAATACCCCTTTTCAAATATATTATGTGCCAGTTCCTTGCTCATCTCATCTACTTAAGCGAACTTTTGATAATAATTGCTAAATTAGTGGTTTTACCTCTAGTTCCCAGTGTATTGCTGTTTGCTGGTCAGAAGAAAGACAACTGTCAGTCAAAATAATCCAATTTCAGGAACATAAAATATAATAATATATCCTTTATTCTCACTGTTCCTGCAGTTCCTAGCTATCTCTGGGAGCAGCTAACAGCTGATGTTGCTATTACATATGTGTAATGGCTTACTTTCTTTCAGTGAGTTTACTTTCTTCAACTTTATGCTATACCTGTGCAGACCATTCTTTTCTTTGCTACTCTCTTTTATGTGCTGTTAAGTAAAATTTTAACTTAAGTAAAAGTTTTAACTTTTAAAAGTTACACCTGTCCTCCGCGAGCTGCACTGGCTACCTGTTGGTCTCCGGGTGCGCTTCAGGATACTGATGAACATCTTTAAAGCACTCCATGGTAGTGGATCTGGGTACTTGAGAGACCGCCTTCTGCAGATTACCTCCCTAAACCGACCAATCAGATCGCACAGACTGGGCCTCCTCCGAATCCCATCTGCCAGTCAATGTCGACTGGCGACCACACGGAGGAGAGCCTTTTCTGTTGCTGCCCCGACCCTGTGGAACGAGCTCCCCATGGAGATCCGTACCCTCACCACTATCCAGACCTTCCGCGCAGCCCTCAAGATCTGGCTCTCCCAGCAGGCCTGGGGATAGGCCTCCAATTACCCGCCCGAGTGTTTGATTGCTGAATGAAAGTTGTGTTTTATTATTTTTTCTTTGTGCACATATTGTTTTGTTTTTGACCTTGCACCCCCCTCCCCTGTGGTTGTAAGCCGCCCTGAGTCCCCCCAGGGAAAAGGGCGGCATATAAATCCCAATAAACCTAAACCTAAACCTAAACCTTAAATGTTAGGATCATCCAACACAGATTAGAGCCTTACATGAAAAGATGCCAGATGTTCAAGGCTGACTTCAGAAAAGGCCAAGGAACATGAGACATTAGTGCTGAGGCATGCTGGGTAACTGACAAAGCCAAATAATACCAATAAGATGTCAGTATGTATTCATTGTTTGTTGAAAGCTTTCAATTGTATCATTTATGTCTAGCTGTGGAATGTGCTTGGAAAAATAGAAATCTCAGAACACTTGCCATAGTCACATAAAACCTAGAGACAGGCCAGAAAGCCACAGTTCAGACAGAACACGGTGAAAAGGACTAAGAGACAAGGCTGTATGCACTCCCCTTATTTATTCCATCTATATGTGGAATATGTCTATTTCAACAATAGAGACAAAAGTGTATTTTACACTGCCTCCAACATACAGTCATAATAAATACTACTCTGGAAAAATAGCAATATAGATATTTTATTAAACAAACATTCACCGGCAATGTTTTGCCATTTTCTAATTACAGCATAATTTAGTGAACATGCAGATCTACTTTTATTGTTTAATAAGTATTTTTTTCTGCCTCTTGTATTTCCCATTTTAGAATATGGGTTTGGGGTTCCTCTTTTTTTCCCTATGGAAGCTACTATACAAGACACATTGATTCCATTGGCTATCAGTCTGTCAGTATTTTCAAAAAATTATTTAACACTGAATTAACTAAAAATGTTGTATCTGATAACTAAATGTAAAAAAATGTCCCCTCCCCGTAAAGGATTCTTCAATGGAACATGCTTGCCTTCAATATTACATTCTCAGGGGGTCCAAAAAAACCTGTCATTTTGTAGAAACGACTAGCCTTCTTTCATATCAATATGGTAATTCAGCAAATATTAATCTTTTTACAATAGTCTCATTAAAGTTTGACCTTAGTATAAATTTCTTCCTAAATTATATTTCTCTTATCTACACATTTGTATTTTCTGTGCTTAAAAAAAGTCTTACCTTAACTAGCTTGTTCATTAATTCAATGAATTCAATTCTTACTGTCTTAAAAAATCATTGCCCAATTGTAAGAAAACTAGAGATAATAAAATGAAATAGAAAACTGACACTATTTTTCTGATGCAGAAAATTGAATATGAATAAACCATTTATTTACAAAAATGTAAATACATCTTACATCTTTTGAAGTACTTGAGCCATCACAACTCCAGTTGTTAAATCTTCTACAGTCTGGCATGGTGCTTCAACATTAAATGTCTGGATCTGAAGAGAAAGAAAGTTATACTTAGTCAAGCTATTTCAAATACATCAAGAAATACACCAATGCATCAAGAAATTTCAGAAGTTGTACAAAGCTACAAAGTTGTACAAAGAGCTGCTGGAAGAAGTAAAATAAACCAAAGAAATAAATACAAGATCTTGATGATTACTGACATTACAATTAATGAATGGGTGAATTTATTTCTGTAAACTTGAAAGACCCTATTTTAGCATCACGTCTGTAAAAAAGCAGTTCTTTCTTTGCCTTTTAATTACCTTCAATGGATTAAATACAGTATAGTAATAGGTGTAAAAGCAACATTTGAAAATATCTATTCATATACTACCTTCAAAAACCTGAAAAAGGTATACAAAAATCATGATTAGTTATAAATGTTCCATAAGAAATGAAGCTCAATTCAAAGGAGACTTTTTAAAATATGTCCTTTGTCTATTTAACTATTCTTCATCTTTTTGCCCATTTTTTTGCTATAAGGATTCCATCAGGGTAGTGTCAAAAATTACTGAAGTGTTAATTGATTCTTCCCCAAAGAAAGAAAATCACAAATATCTGCATAACAATAAAGCAGTAGTTGTATGTAGCAGTTTAATGTTTTTTTCAGAAGCAACATGGAGTTTGGCCTCTCCTATCTTTTTTTAAAGGGGGGGGGGCAAGAGAGGACAGGCTATTCTCTTCTTCCTATATCCTATGACAAAAAGACAAAATGCATTCTACAAAATAGTCTGGAAGAGGGTGAAAAAAGCTAAAAATCAATAGCAGCATACCTCCAAACATGAACTTTTGTGAAAGCCCCACCCTCTAATGAACCAGTTCTCCATTTTACTAGATTATAAACTTTTTTTGCCATTCAATTTGTTCTATTCTTGATCCCGAACTGCAAATGAAGAAGAAACAACTAGAATATTTAAAAGAGATCTACTTCCTTTTATTAAGCAGATGTTAAGGAATCTTTCTAGTAACTCATAAAAATGGAGGCACTGCAGCATCAATGATTTGTTCTTCTATTATAAAGACGAGCATAAAACTGTAAAAAAAATAATGATTTTATAATAATGACAATGTTATTAATGATTTTGAGCCAGTCACTCACTCAATTCAACCTATTTCACAAGGTTGTTATTATGGGAAAATAGGAAGAGCAACTATTATGTATGGATTGCAGCTAGACTTATCAACTACGTATCTATCCAGTTGACTAAAGTTCAAGAGACTAGAAAAATAATCAAGTTGAGAAGAAGTCTGATGCAGAATTGGGAAAAATAGTGAACTCGTGTTATGATGAAATCAACATGCATCTACTAAATGGAATTCCAACATATAAGCTGTAGTGGGTACAAACTTGGTAAGTGTGTGCAGTGGTGTTTAAAAGTTAACATTCTGAATGTTCAATATTTCTACATAAATATGACTGAGAACACTATCTGTTCTCCACACGTCCTAAAAGAACATAAAGAGAGCCCAATGTCAAAAATATTATACTTGTTCATTTATTCATTGAGGAAAATTATCCAAAGCGATATACCTTATGTTCAGCAAATGTATATAAATCTTTGATATGTATCGCCCTTGGGTAGCAATATCTGCTATGTTTCTGATAACTGTTTATCAGTCCTGCACATTATCTTTGAGGAATTTTAGCCTATTCCTCTTTACGAGAAAATTTTGGGGATGTTGGCAGGCTTCCTTGTGTAGGAAACAGATGTTAAGATTACATTTATGTAGAAATATTGAAAATTCCAAAGAGCTCACAAACATTTAAGAACCTTTTTATGTGTGCACATTCTTGTGTGCACCAACACAAGAATTAAAACTTGATTACGGCCCTCAGCCATTTGATTTGATTTCCATATTTTTTTTAAAAAATATTCAGAATATCTATATAAAGCAGGGGTGTCAAACTCAAGGCCCGAGTGCTGGATTCAGCCCGCGGGGTGCTTGGATCTGGCCCACCAGACCACCCTGGAAACAGCAAAGGACTGGCCTGCAGTGCTTCTGCCAGCAAAAACAGAGCTTGGGTGGGGCTCTGGTTGGTCCTCCTGAGCTCCGTTTTCGCTGGCAGAAGGCTGTCACAATTGAAAATGGAGCTTGGGAATTCATTTCCGCTGCAGTGCTCAGCCTACAGGCCCCCCAACACGTGATATCAAGCTGGCCACGTCCACCCTGGTCCCCCAGGGTCAAACAAAACCCTGACGAGGCCTTCAATGAAATTGCGTTTCACACCCCTGATGTAGAGCATCTGTATGGGTTTAAGAAAATAAATGATTCAATATAATTCCCAGAAGAATTAAATACCAACATTAAAACATATTCTTCTGGATTATAAGTCCTCGCCCTTTGACCATACTTGAGACTAAAATGTTTGTTGCTAAGCGAGACATTTGTTAATTGAGTTTCGCCCCATTGCACAACCTTTGGTGCCATAGTTGTTAAATAAATCACTACAGTTGTTAAGTTACAGTTGTTAAATTAACCTGGCTTCCCCATTGACTTTACTTGTCAGAAGGTGGCAAAAAGATCATGTGAAACCAAGACACTACAATCATCCTACTAAATATGAACTGGTTGTCAAGTATCCAAAATTTGATGATGTGACCATGTAGATGATGGAACTGTGGTAACTATAAAAAACATGCACTTTTTTCAGTGCCCGTTGTTAACTTGAAACCATTGCTAAATGAACTGTTGTAAGTTGAGGACTACCTATACTTATTTTTTGTTGAATTATGACATTTAAACATTTTTAGATCAAAATACAGTAACCATACCGCAAACAATTCGGAATTGCTAATACTATATACAATGGTATGAAAACATTTAGACAGCCCCAGTCTAATTGTATGTTTCAAGGAATTCTTAAGTGAAGAAATGCTGACATAACCTGCATGTGGTACTTAATTAAACAGGAGATCTTTCAGAAAATTTGAATATACTTGACATACAGAATTGTTCTCAGCAAATACCACTGAAAATTATCTTATTTTAATAGAAACAGGAACATCCTTGTATAATGGCACATAAAAGTATAAACAGCGATATGTTTGCAAATTTACTTAAAGGCAATGTTTCCATATTGAGATTTTCCACCCCCGGAGACCAAAAATATTCAATCAAAATCCTTTAAAAAAAAACAACAACAGGAAGTTAACCCCCTGAAAAGGGGAGAAACATTTTTAGCCTGCTTTTGTTCACTTAAATGCTAAATGGTTTTAGTTGGAAATGTTTTAACTGAACAAGCCCGTTGTCCTACTGCCTATTTTTGCAATGTTCACAAACAGGTTAGGGCACTTGGGTGGACATGAGAAGTTTTCTGAACATCTCAACTACAGGTTTAATATATTTTGTAGCACGTAGCTGACTTTGGCACATGTCAAATTGTAAACAAGATCAGCCCTTATTAATGGGATGGCAGAATTATTTCTGAACCCCATGGTTGTAAGTTAGATCAGTAAGTCAAATGAAAAAAAAAAAACTCTTAGAAGAAAGTAAATGACAAAGCATTTCTGTAACATTGCCAGAAAAACTGCATCATGTAATTACTGTTCCATGACTCAAATTTAGTTTAGAGTTCTCTTAATCTAAACAAGCTTTTGGTAATTTTGCAGAATAATCCTCCTGTAATTAATTATAATCCTTTGAAATAAAAATTCTGAAGTTAGTTTTTATTGTAACTATCACAATCGAGCAAAACTATTGCAAAATGCAACAGGGGTTCTTTTGCTACTGCATACTACTTGGACTTAGCAATATTTTATTTATTAATTTTATTGCTATTAGCTGCCTTAAAATCAAAGGAAGTAATATCGTAAACATTTTCCACAAAGCCAATAGTGCCAACATGAACAGGTACAGCAAAGCCTTTCAGACATCATATTTGTAGTGCAATAAGACATGTTTTATCTGATCAGAAATGACTTGAATGGTTTATATCTTTCCTCCACATTCTACCTCTTGTGTAGTTTCTCTACTTCCTCAGCACAATAAATCTAAATTTCTTGTGGAATCTGAACTAAAAAACCCTCAAAAGTTCAAAACTTACTTAGTGTATTTCCAAGTTTGGTCAATGATGCATAGAATTTCCAAATTAAAACAGAAAAAAGAGCGTGTACATGATTCATTCTCAATCTAATAAATTGGGATTTTTCAGACTATGGAATTTGTTCCTTTAAAAAATTTCTCAGAACAGTTTTGAAAAGCCAAAACTCTAAGAAACAGAAAACAGGATCCATTCCAGTAAATGGAGTATTTTTTTTACCTTTAGTCTTTCCCAGAATCCTGACATGTTCCCTAGGATTCCTCAGAATTCAAGTTACTAGAGTTCCACAGAACAGTTTGAAAAACCTCTGCAATAAACCATGATGTACCAGATTTTTTTTTATTACATCTGAATTGGGTTTCTGTTTCTTGTTATTGTGACACACAAATGGCTCTTTTAGACTGTTACTACGCTAAAAGTCAACTTTCAAAATCTACTATTTCACTGACAAAGTACTACTGTATGAAAAAGAATGCACAAAACATTGCACTTAATATTAACTGTGTATCTGCTTCTTTGGATCTTAGGCCATAATGCCAAACACAATTAGTAAAATAATAAAAAAAATATTTTGAACTACTGAGTCCTGAACAGTATTTGAGAATTAAAGACTATGAAGAAAGATAGCTCAAGTTAGGAAATGCACTGATCAGACCTTTTTTGTGAATTTTAATTGCTACCAGCAAATTATTTCTGCAGTGTTATTTTCTATATTATGTACCATATGTTACTATAAATTATTTTTTATATTCATTAACCATTTAGAAATCAGTATGGAATTCCTCAATATTTTAATTTATATCCTATCTTGGATATGTTTTTAAACACAATACAATTTCTGCAGTTAAAATTAATACACATAACAAGAGAAATCTGAAAATATTTTCCAAACATTGTGCTACAATTACATTTGTTACAGTGCCCAAATACCTAAGACTTCAAATAATG